TTATTTAGAACAAAACCATTTCAGATTAAACATTTTAAAAACTATAAATCAGAATAAAGTCCATGCCTACTTTCTCCTAATGCTTACCATTCTGTGAATCTCAGAATGCCCAGTTCCTCTGGACTCCTTCCTTCCTTGGTTGCTCTATACCGCCTGTCTTTTTAGACCGCTCACTGATTAGTCCCCTCCCCCCCCCCCCCCCCCCCCGGCTTTTTAACTCTTTAATCTTTTGCTCTCTAGTTCCCAGCCTGGCAAAACAAGATTTACGGCATGTTGGAGACTAAATGTAGGATCCCTATGTCTAACAGCTGTCCTCCACTGTCCTTTTAGTGTGTATGTAGGTATTCTTATCTGGGAAGTCATTATATTGCAGTCCTGTACAGTTCCCATTGAATTCAAGCATTATAGGCATATAAAACATTCCACTAAGCCAAGTTCAAGTTAGCACAGTGCATTCACACAGGACAGTCTTATAACCCAGTACAAGAAGATCTTCCCCTCACTGACCTAGTCACATATACAGTGTTCATACCATTATTGCATATCAATATTCATAGATCAAGATGTAGCAATTCCTACAGTATTCATAACCATAGTACATATCCGCTGCACTGTCAATCTGATTTTGGGAGCTGAGGGACAACAAGAAAGGAGTCCTTATAGGAGTTAAACATATACTGTTTGAAACAAAAGCAAGTCTGTAGCAGCCTAATATATATCTTACAGTTTTAATCTAAGGGCTCATCTACACTTGGAAATTCAATTTTGTTAAACTGTCAAATAAGCCCTAAGAAAGAGACTTTATCATGCAGGATAGAGCTTATTACTGAATAAAGACTTTTTTGATTTGTGAAAGGGTTGGCTTACAATTCAGACTAAAGTATAGTCCAAATCAACCTGCTATGTGGAAAAGTATGTAATAGCTACAGTGTAAGGGACCCAAAAATTAAGCAAGTCTCTGCCATTCAAGTTTCGTTTACATCAATAACAGGCCTCAATCAGAAGAATGCTGTCTGAAAAATTCAGTACTTTTAAAATACTATTATATTTAATGCAAACAAGATTTTAACTTTTATTTTTCCTTTAATGTGAAAGATTTTTGTAATCTAGAACAAGTAAAACCTTGCTATATTACATACAAAACCAGAAAACTATAATACAATATTAAAAAGCAGCACACATACAAGATAATACAAGTTGCAGTCCATAGGGAAAAAAAATCTGTTTCAAATGATGATTGCAAATATAGCCTTATGTGAAAGGTGAACAGCACGAGAAAAAAGTAATTTATTCCCCTTTTTATTTCTTTTTAAAGTATAAATATGGCATGAAAGGTTATTTTTTCTAAAAGCTTTCTTCTTTGCACTAGATATTTAGTTCTTGTCTAGTTTAGACTATTCATGCACCACTGGGAGCTAGTAGGATCATAACATTATAGTACAAAAGTAGTAAAAATCTTACTGAGATGAGAAGTGACTATTATTCAGACTTTAAAAATCTAATTTTGTTAACACCTACTTAATTCAATCATCTAATGGTTTGGAAAAAATGAATCTTAATTTAAGATTTAATAACCTTGTGCCTTCAGTTAAAGGCAGCTTTCAGGCAGTGTAAATCCTCAAAGATTTCTGGCGGTTGTGGATGGCCTCTCAGACTGTGTCAGATCTCTTACTGGTACTGGTCTTAAGAGCTGCATTCTGGCTCACAGAAGTGCTGACTGACTGGGACGCAGAGGTGGAAGGTCCTATGGAAGACCATGCTTAATACTTCTATGTCAAAAACCAGCAGAATGAATATATATAGCCTTTCAATCCTTCTTTCTATACAGTAATGTAGGGAAAATGGGTACCATAAAACTTTTCTGCCCTTTGCAGGTCACTTTTAGAAGAATTGTTATACAAAATCATGCATTTATAAAAGATTATATAACAGATTAAAAAAAACCCACCAATTTTTGCATGTCATTCTTCAGATTTTTCTGGTTTAAGAGGATACTTCCTTATTAAATAATTTTTCATAAAAATCCAAATCTGTGAGGGTTAATGATGGTTTTACAGTCTTCAGTGATTTTACAAAATGCTCATGTTTCACACTAGTTGCTTCAAGTCCATTCTCTTGTAATGCCTGCAAAGCAGCCTTAAAAAAAAAAGCACGATTTTACAAATCAATCTTTTCAAAACTTAAAAATAAAAATGAACATTAGTCCAGTGTTTTGACACAGTACTGTATGATTCAAGATTAAAAAAAACAATAGGTAAACATCAAATGAAGTCAATTTATCAGATAATACAAATGTTAGTTTGCCTTCTCTATTCTTCTATTCCAAATTCAGTTAATACTGTTTCACTTACTGCATCTAGTTGATTGGGCTAGAAGACATATCCTTGGTCACTTAATTATTCAGATATTCTACCTAACCTCCTCCTTCCTCAAATACATTACCTCAAATATTTGTGGACACATCTCCCTTGCCCTATTCTTTTTCTTCCCGATTTATCAATGTTAATTTCAGCAATAAGTTCTATGATGTGTAGTACACGGGAGCAATTTATCTGGATTTTAAGTAAGGCTTTGAAAAGGAAAGTAAGAAGATTAGTACTTGCTCCAGAATTTAAGTAGTCCCTTACTCCAACTAACCTGAAATACTGTCAAATCTGTCAGGTTTGTTTGGCATCATTTTTTCTTTTTTGTAAGTTAACCCATGTTGCTTTTCATTCACTCTTTTAAATGCTACTCTCTGCTTCAAAGAGAGAGTAAACAGATTTACAGATTCTGGTAAATGCAGGTAAGAGGGGCAGAGCCACTTTGGTAGCATGCTCCCAACGTGCTCTATGATTATCAGAGGGGCGGGTCTGGGACACAGGAAGAGAAGGCACTCCTCACAGCATGCTCATCTCCTTACGCAGTGGATATGTGCCTAAGTTGTTTCTACTAAACAGAAATAATTCAGGCTCCTTACTTGCACTATTTGAAGGTGGTTTTGAGCACTGTGTGTTTGTCCAAGGATAGGAGCTCTTGACAGGAGGAGAGGGACTAGAACTATCTTTCTGCAGGACGGGATTTACCCTCCTCCCCAAAAATCCAAGTTAGTAAAGTTGCATCATCTGCCTTCTCCATACAATCTCCTGCAGGGAGAGTTTCCAGGCTCCACAAACTGTCTTCTGCTTCTTCTGGGTGTCTCCACAGGAGCAATTTATTCTAATTTTGCACTTAGTTCAACTTCAGTACTAATAGAGCCCTTATTTACTGGGTGTATTTTACTGGTACAACATATGTTTTTCACTCAGCTGGTATAAAATTTTGCTCATTTGTCTTACCCTTTTCATTAAAAATTGAGGAAAAGTACCAAATGTCTTAGAATATTCTATAATTTGGCCTCTCTTCATCTAAAGTACTCACTTACAGCTTACTTCACTGATTAAACAAAAAACTCCTTACCTCCTTGCAGAGATTTTCAATATCGGCTCCAGAAAAGAGTTTGGTTTGAACTGCTAGGTGTTCTAATGACACATCAGAATCTATTGGGATTTTTTCTGTGCAAATTTTCAAAATAGAAAGCCTTCCCTATGATACAAGCACATTACAAAAGACAAAGGATAGTCACTTAGGTACTATTTGTTTTATTAAGAGTACTTGTTTAGGCCTATTTTCTGCCACCTTTACTCATGTTGGCTAGTACTTTACTCTGCAAATTCTAAACTCAAATATACTACAGTCACAAACAAATATTCTACTTGTGACAAATGACTGCCAAGAAACAAAAACCCAGTTTACCACAGAGTAATCATATGATGCATTCAAGGTGGACAGTAAGACAGCAGTTGAAAATATTTTATTGGCAAAGCTCAATAACGAATACTCAATAGGGCATCTTGACTTGAATTCTGAACACTAGCACTCTGAATGAAAATCTAGTTGGGCTGCCAGGTATCTTACTGGTCTGTAGAACACTAAGCTATAGTTTTGCAGCAATATCCTCACCAATTGCAACAATTTTTACATCATCTCATGACTTCTTAAAATCATGAATCACTGGATCTTGCTGCCTTTTTTTTTTTGGTTTTCTTTTGTACCTTTGTGCTCCCACCCCTAACTTGGTACAGGCTATATGAAGAACTCGAATGCAAGACAAAGAAAACCCCAAAAGAATGTAGAATGCTCAACTATACATGCTATGTTGGTTGGTGGTGGTTTTTTTTAGTAGGGAGTTGGCAAGATCTCGCAGCAATGCTAATGGTTAAGGTTGTCTAATACTTTCCATTTTAAGTCACTTTCTTCAGTTGCTTATACCTTTACCAACATTTTAATCTTCCAGGGAATTTTTTTTTGCCAGACAAAAGACTATATTTTTATATATATTTTTATTTTATATATTTTATATATATATATATATATATATATATATATATATATATACACACACACACACACACACATATATACACACGATATAAGCTTTAAACAAACAATTTAATACTGTACACAGGAATGATGATTGTGAAGCTTGCTTGAGGTGGTGAAGTAAGAGGGTGGGATATTTCCCAGGGAATGCCTTACTGCTAAATGATGAACTAGCACTCGGCTGAGCCCTCAAGGCTTAACACATTGTTGTTAATGTAGCCTCACACTCTACAAGGCAGCACGAATGGAAGGAGGGGAGACAGCATGGCAGAGAGAGACAGAGACACACACCACGTGTGTGAGAAAGAGAGAGAGAGAGACGCGCATTACTCCTTTAAATACACTGACCCCACTCTAAGTACACTGCCTTTTTAGGTAGATAAGCAAGTTGAGACAGCAGCTGCTGCCAGCAAGCTCCCTCTGTCCTGAGCCCTGTGGTGTCCCCCCCGCTCTGTGGAGATGGGGGTACAGGAGCAGGGGACACCCTGACATCAGCACTCTTCTTCCCTCTCCCCCCCTTACACAGCTCCAGGGAGCAGCTCCAAGGCAGAGGGCAGGAGCAGCACATGGCAGTGGTGGGAGGGACACCTGAACTGCCTGGTAATTGTGCACAGAAAACTTAGGGGAGCTGATAGTGGGGCTGCCAGTCCACACTGGTTCCAAGCCCCCACCAGCTCCAAGAGGCTGCTCTTTCTGCAAGCAGTGGACAAACCAGGCGGCTACCAAACAACATTATAATGGAGCATTGCGCAACTTTAAACAAGCATGTTTTCTAATTGATCAGCAACATAACAACATTAACCAGGACAACTTTAAGTGATGAGTTACTGTAATATAAACTGACCTAAGCACAGGCAATTCTGGCACTTCCTAACTTCTGAATGCTTGATTTTGCAAATATATCATCATCAAGCATTCAAAAGTCAGGAAATGCCAGAAATGCCTGTGCCTTGGTCAAAGTGTCTGAAGGGTGTACATTTTTATATACATTTAAATGATATTTTATAATCCATGCTGCTTTCATATTTATTTTAAAAGCTAGACATTTAGTAGTTAATCTTCAGTGCAAACAGCAACACACTCTTACATACATTATAGTACTATGCCTCTTTTTGTTGTTGTTAAGAAATAGTATACCTACAACTTCACACCTCTATTTAAATTTGTGTACAGATTTATAATGCATTACCTTCTGATCTGGAGGTGGAATATAGATGATCTTGTCTAACCTTCCAGGGCGCAACAAGGCATCATCCAACTTGTCTGGTCTATTTGTTGCAGCGACTATCATGACATCTTTGTTCAAAACTTCTTGAAACTCTATCTGAATGAGATTATATATGCAGCAAATTAGATGGGTATACAGTGTTTTATATGCTTTGGGCTACAGGACAAGTATAATTTATAAGTGTCAACTAAGAGGAGAAAAAGAGAGGCAATACAAAGAATAAATGCATATATCCATATGTAGTCACTTTCCTTTTCACTACAAATGTTTCTACTTTGTGTAGGTCAAGATACCAATATGTAATACAATAAAGAAGAATCAATATCCATTCTGGTAATGCATATGGAACTTTCTTGTGGTCAGAGTCTAGCAAGATTGTGTGTGTCAGATTGAGTGCAGAGAAGACGTAAGACTGCAGTATCATACAACATTTTCAAGGGTTTATATAACTGTTTAAAATGGCTACAAGTACTAAAAAGTTTATTAAAACATGTATTGTGTGTTCATTATAGTAGCAATAAATCTGACACCATAAACTGGGAAGTCACAGAAATTTACAATGATGAAATATATACCCAGTAATGGGGAATAGGTGACTATTATTTATTTACATAATTCCTTAAATGTAATCAGGAATAGTTTAAAATAAATATTTAAATAAAATTAAGATCACATGCAATGAATAAAGGTCAGCTTAGGTAGTTAAAAGCAGACTACATGGGGACAGAGCAATTACAAGTTAGTAAAAGAAGTCAATGCTGTTAAAATGCTCTAGTGAAAATTTCAGAGACAGGACTCCTACTGAAAAAGGCAGAAAATATGCTATCAGCAAATGAAACAAAAGAGGATAACTAAATAACAAGGGGTTAATAATGTACAAAGTCTGCTGCTCTAAGAATTCAGAATTATGATATTCTAACATGCAGAGGGAGTAAAGGAGAAGTTTTAAAGGTACTCAGAGGTGTTGTATCACAAAAATTGAGGGAGAGAAAAAAATTACAGATGAAAATAAAGGAAACTAAAAAGAATGAAGCATGTGTAAGGATAAAATTGTGGTGGTGATGGAAGGTTCTTCAGTATGCCAGAATGGGGGTGAAGATGTAACCCTACCACCTTGAAATCCATTTTAACAGCATAGCAGGAGCATGTTAGTTATCTCCAATGTTGTATGTAAAAGAAAATACTGGATACTATCAAGAAGTTGTCAAAGGCAGCAGAAAGGTAATGTTTTAATCTGTGAAAGCCAATGGTTTAAACTTCTGGAGCACTTTAGCAATAAAAACTAACCTTCTTCCTATATATGCGAGTGTACATACCTGTCTCTCCTTTTCATTTTGTTCTTGACAATCACCTTCAAGCTGTAATTTATTTCCTCTTCTCTCTGTGACTTTAATGCCAACACCATCTAATTCATTAAGAAGGACAGACAGAACCTTCTCTGGGGCACCATGTCCAGTTTTGCAGGCTGATCGAGATCCTAGGATAGAATCAATCTCATCCAGGAATATTATTGCTGGAGTATGTGCTCTTGCTTGGCGAAAAACCTTTTATTAGGTTCATAAAATAAATGTAGAATGTTGTAATGCATGTATAAGTTCCACCATGTCAACTGAAAACACTTGTTATAGATTTTCTATACTTTTACTTAATTAATTCATTTTAAATATTTATTTACAAATATTTAAAAATATTTTAAATATTTAAATATTTATTTACAAACACTCAATGGAGACCAATCTGGTTTACATTGACTGTTTAGCAGACTCTAGGTGCCTAACTTAATACTAAGGTCAACCAAAGAACAAAAAGCCATACACAATAGGTAGATTAAAGAAATTAGTTTGAAATATAACTTAGGGACATATGCTCAGCAGATGTAAATGGCAATAGCTCCTCTGAAGTCAATTGAGCTGTATCCGTTTAGACCAGAGGAGAATCAGGCCTTAACGTCTTAAAAAGCAAAACATAGGAGTGATGAATACTTTATACAAAAATAAGCAAATTATACATCATATGTGATTAAAAACCAAACCTGAGACAAAATCTTCTCTGAATCTCCAACATAAGGTGAAAAAAGGTCAGCACCACTAACAGAAAGAAAGGAACAATGGCAGCTTGTGGCCACAGCCTTCACCAGAGTGGTTTTGGCACATCCTGGTGGCCCATATAGGAGAATACCCTTTGGCTGAGACAGTCCCATCCTCACAAAAGCCTGAGGAAACTTCATAGGCCACTCAATACTCTGTAAATACAGAAAGGATGAAACATTTGCAGTGATGTATCTAGTCACACATTAGCCAATAAAACTACTGGTCACAATACTGCTCTTTACCTTGCTGCATTACCACAGCTGAGGTCAACGGACACACTCCAATTTGACCCTCTTTGTTATAAAGGAGATAGGGCAGTGGGTACGGCATTCTCTGAGAGGGCACATTGGTTGACTCTGGAACTCATTTCCCCTCTGGTCTGAAATAGCCAAAATGTATAGACTAGAGGGTAGTTGGAATGAGATGGGTATATGCTGCTGCAGTAACTGCCCTCTACTGGCTGATGTGTTAATTTACTATGGTATGCTCCTGGGTGATATTTTGAGATTGTAAATTTAATTACTCACAAGGTGCCAGAGCCTGTGTATAGGCAATTTTAGTTTGATTTAAGAAAATACAAAAATGTGCTTTAATATTTTTAAGTAATTAGGAATAACATTTTAAATACGAATTGAAGACCAATACAATTCCCATAAGAACACTTTTCAATTCTGCAGTGTATAGAACAGTTTGAGGTAGATGGGAGAAATTACAGTTTTGTTTAAATGTGTTCTGCACTCTACCTGTTTTAACTTTAATTTCACATCTTCAAGACCACCAATTTGTTCCCAGGTAACAGGTTTAAAGTCAGTTAGTCCAACACTGCTTCGAAAGGAAGATGGCTGAATCTTTTTAAAAGCTTCATGGAAATCTGCCATTTTAATCAACGTACGAACTGAATCCTGAAGAAATGCACAAAGAACAAATAAAAAAGGAAAGCACTTTCTTCCTTTGCATCATTAATAATTTATATAGTTACATTAGATGTCCACAGCATTTTACAATATGCCAAATGTAACTGACAAAGAAGAGAACCCCTATTTTAAAGAGTTTACATATGACAGACACAAGTACAAACACATACCAACAAAATAGTGTGCATTCATTGTGGCTGGATACATTTTTTGTTATGGCACAGGGCTGGACACTTTTGAAAGGAACTGATGTTTGAGAGAGTATCTTTGCTTTTCTCCTGAATCTACTCTAGTTCTGCCATATGGGACTCTAGTGAGGGAAGCTGTTGATAAACCCAGGGTTTAGGGTCACTACCTACAGGATTCCTAGCTCCCTCCCATTTATTCAGGCATCTGTTCCAGTATATACAGCAGAATGCATTTAGATTGAATATATGGACCAAAGGCATTAACATAACCCAGTCACTGTCCAACATTAAACAGTGTTAAATAAAGTCTGGGGTTTGGTATACAGAGACCTCAGTCTGTTTAGTACCCTGGCACATACTCCATTAAAAATCCTTTTAACCTTTAATAAAACAAAGGAAAAACAGTTAAAGCATTTGAAATGTAAAATATTATATAAGGCTATCATTTTAACAGTGTCTCTTGCTCCCTTTACTTTTAGCTGGAGAAAGTCTTCAGACGGAGAATCCCCTTTTTTGACATTCTTTTAGATATCAAAGATGGCAATAACTGTCCTTTTGGGAAAAAGAGAAGTTAGTTGAGATGGACTGGAGCTGCTGTTGTTGGATCCCAGATGGTGTTTGGGATTCAGCTGGAGCTGGTAATGTCATATAGGTCCCTCTCTCTGGCCCGGATCAGGGTCCCAGGAAACAATGGGGATGATAGCCATCATGGTAGAGCTTGTTCTAGTAACTAATTTTTTCCTCACAAAGTCTCTTTCTTTAAGGATTCACAAAGGAAATTGTGTGCAAAACAGCCCATCCATTTATTATTTTGTCCACCAATTAGGCTACTTTCTGAAAAACCAGTTTTGGTCCGTTGATTTCTGGTTTCATACTTTTCTTGTTTACCAGGCATGCTCTTAATACAGTCCTTGCGTTATATCAGTAGGACCTTTTGTTTGGACTAATTCAGTCTGTTTCCTATTCATAACTTTTCCCATCAACATTTGTTGTTTTAGGCTACTGTGGTCTCTTATGAATTTTCATGTACTTTTTAGAGTTAAGCTCACAACTAGGGTAAATTTGTAGACCCAATCATCACATATCCCCTCACCTCAAACATTCTATAGAATACAGGTTTGCAAAAATCTTGGATTATGGATCTATTTTTCATCCTCGGTTCATGCTAAATCTCATCGAAGGCCAGGCTGATCTCTGGTATTGTTCAATGCTCTGCATATTCTTCTTGTCTACATTAGAAAACTTTGTAGCCATAATTCACCACCAATGCAGTTCCTCAAATGACACCTGAGGTAGACGCTTTAAGTTAAACAGGACTCGGATGTTTCCTACCATGTCACCTAAAAATTCCCCACACGAGTCCTGTCTACATTACTAGTAGCTTCCACTGCTGCTACCACCTAGTGGTGACTTAGGGTTACCAAGTTTCATAATATAGCCAGGGGGTCTCAACAAATTTTTTGGTGGCCTCAGAGTGCGGCCACCAACTCTTGCTGGTGGCCGCTGTTAACATTTTAACTAAAATTCCTAATTAAGTTTAGGAAAGACAGAAATAAATATGCACATATACATGTCCAAATAATTCCAATTTATTTATGTTGGGATTTTTTGCAGACTCAATAATAAAAATAATGTATACTTGTCTCTATTCTTTATTGGAACTAAACAGAACAGAAACACAAATAAGGTGCTTTGCATGTTCTTGTCTTTTTTGTTCTTGTTTATTGTGTGTTTTGGGTTGCCTTTTTAAAGACTTGCTAGCTAGTAAGTCTACTGCTGCGAAAAGTGATATTAACAAACATACAGATATCACTTTTCACAGCAGAAGACTTACTCAGCGCTGGCAAGCCCAGGGACAAATTAAGCCCTGGATGGGGAGGTGGGTACAGTGGCAGTGGGAGCCAGAGGCAATGGGGAGAATGGATGGGGGGGCCAAGAGGTAATGGATGGGACCCCAGGGAAGGTGGGGAACTCACTAGCAGCCTGCTACTCCAGCATTTGTCTCTCCAGAAGGGAGCAGGACCCAACCCCTGCTGGCAGCCTCAGGGGAGGGGCCACTGCTTTGCCCTGTCCCACATCACTGTCCAGGAGGCTGTGGCCACAAGAAAAGCCCCTGGTGGCCGCATTTGAGAAACGCTGGCTAGACACAGCTCTACAGGCAGAGCATGAATCTGAGGGACACTGTATTCTCTATATCATAGTGGAGAAATTCAGCACAGGGCTAAAAACCCCATTGTCTGCGAGCTATTGGACCTTCTTCCTTCCCTCCAGTGGAGAGTCTCCTGCAGCCTGGCAAGCTGCCCCCTATATCATGTTTGCTGAAGTCTACAGATTTCATAATAAAATGTAATAAGCTGCACTTTGCAGAAGAGTTGTCAGTGTACACAGCACAGAGGCCAGCAATTTGGTTTATTTTTTCTTTGACCATCTTTTGACAGAATGGCTGCTTCTGTCAGGGCTACTGGGCTCAACTTTATTTTAATGATCATTTTACATTTTTGTACAGGATCGATGGTGATGGAGGTTCTACAAATAAAATGTTCCCCTGTTATCACCACCCGGGGAGGAGAGTAAAGTGCACCAGCATCTCCCATAGTTTCTATGATTCCAGAGATATTCTGGATCTCGATCGCACAGAAGCACTCCTTGACTTCTTTTCTGACCCTCCACTCCACCTTGATGAACAAGGGAGCAACTGAAGCCTTTGCTCCCCTTCTCCTAGCAGTCCTGACTGAGGGGGAAGAAAGATTAACAAATAATGCTTCCCTGAGATCTATATCTACAACATCCCAGAAATGCTGCACCATGGGCATTTGTAACTGTTCTCTTCAGGCCAATATGTCATGTAATATTAGACAAACAAAATAAGTCTCTATTTGTGCAAACCACAACACAAACTACTACATGGCTCACCTTACTAAGAAACAGATTTTTATATAAATTGCCTGTAGCTTACAAGAGAGACCTTAGGTGGAAAAAAAGTATAGAATTTGCTCTTCAATTAAAAACTTATATTCTCTGCCTTGTACGACACTAAAAAGCTCATGGAGAGACTAAAGATATTCCACGTTACCTTTACACTCAAGGAGTTGGCAGTCACTTGGTGATTGGATTGAAAGACCATAGCAAAGCTTATAATTACATCTATAACATGTTTGCTAGCTTATTTTGAATATTATCATCCCTGAATTATTCATTTTATATATTAAAGTAGAGTGATATTAGTGGGGAAAAGTGATAAATGTGAATAATGACATCTTTCTTGTTTAATCTGACTCCTTACCAAACAGCTGTGGAGGACAGCCTGCATAGCAGCTTCTCTGCAGAGTGCCGTAAGATCAGCTCCAACATATCCAGTTGTCATTTCTGCTAGGTTGATCAAATCAACATCAGTGGAAATAGGCATATTAGAAGTAATCAACTGTAGAATAGACCTTCTCTGTTTAAGTGTTGGTGTCCCAACGATAACCTAAAACAAATACAATAAATGGAAATTTATCAGTGTTTTGTTATATTTCTCTCTCACTCTGTAGCCCTAGATAAGTCACTTATGTTGTCTGTATTTTAGACACCCTCATGCAAATTCTCCTCTTTTTACACTGTTTCACAAGGGTCTAATTAATGGCTCTATAATACTCTGAAAATATATAGCATGATACAAGTACTTTTCATTTACACTTATTTAATTTTCCAGGTTAGTAGCATTTCAACGAATAGATGTTTTACAAAAAAAATGCCACCTAGTATCTAAAACAGGGGTCGGCAACGTTTGGCACGCGGCTCGCCAGGGTAAGCACCCTAGCGGGCCGGGCCAGTTTATTTACCTGCTGACGCAGCAGGTTCGGCCGATCGCGGTCCCCACTCGCCACGGTTCGCCGTCCCGGTCCAATGGGGGCGGCGGGAAGCGGCGCGGGCTGAGGGATGTGCTGGCCGCAGCTTCCCGCCACCCCCATTGGCCCGGGACGGCGAACCGCGGCCAGTGGGGGCCGCGATCGGCCAAACCTGCTGCGTCAGCAGATAAATAAACTGGCCCGGCCCGCTAGTGTGCTTACCCTGGCGAGCTGCGTGCCGAACGTTGCCGACCCCTGATCTAAAGTCATATTTGAAAGATTAATCAAAAGGAGATTTAATAGTGAAATAATCACTTCCTTGCAACATTAGAACACAAGAGGCTACTGATAATATTTTTCTATTTAAAAACTGTACAAGACACACATCAGATAAAAAAACCCATGGAGAATGATTACTCTATGCCCTGTTAAATAAAGCTAATCTCTGTACAATTAAGTAACACACGGAATAAATAAAGAAAATATGACTGCACAAAAAAGGACCAACCGGCCTGTAAGTATAAAATAAAACTGAGTAGAGAATGTGCATAAATTATTGAAAACCTGCTAAAATATAACCAATCAAAACTGTGTATTTCACTTGTTAATAATGCTGTTAAATCCTGAAAATTTAGATAAAAGTGTGAATGCAGTATGGAAGAACTTATCAAATTTGAACTGACTGGGATAATCTTTGTGAATTACTGATTTTAGGCCATGATCTTGGAATAGACCCTTGCATCGAGTTTGTTGCAGGTTCAAGGTTTTAGTGAGTACACAGACAGACAATAAAGGAAACAAGGATGCATCACTTTGCTGACTGTATTTTTTGTCAATTTATTTTGACAATTGTAAGTTAGTATTTGATGTCTGATATAGATCTGAAACACAAGCAAAGGTGGTATATTTTGTAAAAATAATGAAGTTAGTACATTAACTAAAATGAGCTCTCACTACAGCACTCTGCTATTTAATCTTTCATGAATGTGGCAAAAAGTGTCAATTTTGTGTGTAAATTATAAAGTGTGTGGTGAATTAGCATGGTTCTACCTGTTCTTAGAAGATTTTAGAATTACCTGTACTAGACATGAACATCACCAATTTATGCACAGTCCAAAGAGTCCCTAGAATATACTACTTTTACATTTTAGAAGTAGATTTAGTGCTTATGAAAGGTGCCACACTGACAGAAGTTAGCAATAATGTATTAAGATAGACAAGACTAATACTGTCTGCTCTTGCTACCACCAGTTTAGCTCATTTCTCGTGGCCAGGTCTACCCTAGAAGTTTTGCTGGTACAACTCCTAGTGTAGATACAATTTATACTAGCAAAAAAGTGCTTTGCTGAGAACTACCACCAGTTCAGCAAGCAAAATGATGAATACCAGCAAAAGTACTTTGATTTTTTCAAGTACAGAAATGTTGTTAAAATAATTCACAACTATAACCAGTTTTGTAATAGTTTGAATGTAGACCTAGCCTCAGTTAATCAGGTTCCATTTGCATGACATCTGATATAATAGGACTACTAATTCAGCAGGTGTCCATTGAGACTTCCTGGAAAAGTAGGGTATAGATTCAGATTATAAAGCCACTGTGATAATCCAGTCTAATCTCCTGTACAACACAGGCTTTTTACAGGATTTACCTGAATTAATCCCTGTTTGAACTGAAGCAGCTCATTCAGAAAAACGTCCAATCTTGATTCAAAAATTTTCAGTGATGGGAGAATCCACCACAACCCTTGATAAGTTGTGTCAATGGTAAATTACCATCACAGTTAAAAATGTATGCCTTACTTCAGTCTGAAAGTCAATTTCCAGACACTGGATCATGTTATACACTTGTCTCCTAGACTGAAGAGCCCTCCCTCCTTTTTTTTTTTTTTTTTTTTTTTTTGCCCTGTATAAACTTTTTGATTGCAATCACCCCTTTACTTCCACTTTTTTAAACGAAGTAGATTGAGCTCCTGGACTTTTTCACTATAAGGCATATTTTCCAATCCTTTAATCATTCTAGTAGCTCTTTTCTGAACCCCTTCCAAGTTATTAACATCTTTCTTAAATTGTGGACACCAGAACTTCAGTATTCCACAAGCAGTTGCACCAGGCCAAATACAGAAATAACTTCCCTATTCATACTCGATATTCCTATTTATACGTCAAAGGATTGCATTAACCCTTTTGGCCAGTGTCACACTGGGAGTTTGTGTTCAGCTGATTATCTACCATGACCCCCAAGTCTTTTTCAGCCACTGCTTCCCAAGATAGGGTCCCCCATCCTGTAAATATGGCCCATGTTCTTTATTCCAAGATATATAATTTTACATTTGGCTGTATTAAGAAACCTCATATTGCTTGCTTGTTTCCATCTTATCATGCGATCCAGAGCAATTATCTGTCTTCTTCATTATTTATCATGTTCCCAATCTTTGTGTCAGCTGCAAATTTTATCAGTGACGATGTGAACCAATCCCTGTGAAATCCCCCCCTAGAAATAAACCTGATCGACCATGATTCCCCATTTACAGGTCTCATAATGTAATTGTCAGTTAGCCAGTTTAATCCATTTAATGTGTGCCATGTTAATTTTGTATCATTTTAGTTTTTTAATCAAAATGTTGTGTCGTACTGTTAAATGCCTTACATCAGTTTAAGTACATATTTAGTATATAAACCTTTAATCAATTATGTAAAAACCAAGATGGGGAAAAAACCCTCCAAGCGTCATTATAAAGCAGCAAAAAGGTAACTTTTTCTTCTCCTTTGTAGGTCACTGATCTATAGTGAGAAATAGGGCATCAAACCCGATCAGCTGACTTGACACTGCAGAACAATACCACTAGGCCCTTTTTCACCGATTTTTCAATATAAATATGACAAATGGTATTAAAGTGTCAAAAACAAAACATGAGGAACAGGCTATGCTCACCTCTCGGTCAAATCTACCATGTCTCCTCAGTGCAGGATCTAAGGCATCGGGCCTGTTTGTCGCTGCCATGATGACCATCTCATTTTCACTGCCTATGCCATCCATAAGAGTTAACAATTGAGCAACAATACGATTTTCAGGGATGCTGTTTGAACTTCCCCGTTTAGGGCACAAAGAGTCAATTTCATCAATAAAGAGAATGGTTGGTCCTTCACTGGACAATTCCCTGCCTTGTTCAAAAACTCTTCGCAAATTCTCTTCACTTTCTCCAGGCCTTGAGCCATATATAGCTGGACCACTGATACAAAGCAAATATGCCCCCACTTCCCTTGCAACTGCCTTTATGAGAAGAGTCTTCCCCACACCTGGAGGGCCCACCAACAGTACTCCACGAGGGACAGAAAGACCCAACTTCTTGAAGGTTTTGGGAAAATGGAAAGGCAAAACAATCATCTCTTTCAAAGAGCTGCCCAAATCATCCATTCCTGCAGCTGAAATTTTTGCGGTGTCCTTTGACAAGTGTCTGTACCATTCTAAAGTGACTACTTCTTTAATGTTTATATTAGTTTTGGGAGCTATCAGGCCAGCTTGTTCTGTCAAAGCATCTCCAGCCAGTATTTCAACACACACCACTGGATTTCCAGGAATTGGGGCAGTAGTAACAACATGGTGAAGAGAAACATACACATTTCTCAGCAGCTCTTTGATTATCTCCTGTAGTGTTGCTTCTGGGGTGGATTTTTTCAGGGCAAGGTTCTTAAGGACCACTTTCACTGTTACTTTTCTCAACCGGTGACAGGCCAAAAGCTTCAAGTGACTGACACTCAGCACAAGATCTTTCAACTTGCTTGCAGCTAAACCTGAAGTTTTACATTTCAGATCAAGCTGCAGGTAACCATCAGCCAAATCATTTCTGGGCCAGGCGGTGCACAAACAGCAGCCGCCAGGAACCGTGATCCTAACTGGGGATCCGAGCCCGGCTCCCAGAGTGGATATCGTGGCAGGTCCCATCCTGCATCTTTGCGTGCCTTCGTCCCCTGGGTCTAGAGGGAGCAGCTTTAGGAGAGCAGCCGCCATAGCCGATATTGCAAAGTGCTGACGGCAAACCACGTGCAAGGCGAGGATCTTACCTGTGCCTGGCACCCTTTGGCCAAGGGCGCTCACTCTCCAACGCGACCCCTCAACCCACCCACTCTCGCGGGGAGCTGGCCATGGGGCACTCCCCACCCACACGGAGGCTACACTGGTGTCCCTCCCCCCCCCTACAGGGGAGCCCCCAGCCAGGCACAGGCAACTCGTTGCCCCAGACCGGCCGGCCCCTCCCCCCCTTATATCGTTACAGGCGGGACTGGAAGAGCTGGGTGGGTTCTCGAGCCCCCCCCCGAGACCAGGGCAGGGTCCGGAGCTGCGGGGCAGCGGGAGTCGAGCGGCTGAGCAGGTCTCTCGCAGGGAGGAGACGAGCCCGGCGCACGCTACCGGCAGCGCCCGGAGCTGACCGGCAGCTCACCAGCGCCAGGAGAAAATTAGCTTCTACTTCCTCCAAGCTACGGAGCATGCGTACTATCATCGGCTCATGCGTCACCGGCTCGCGCATGCGCCGCGCCGCCCCAGGTTCAGCCCTGCTGGGGAGCCGCAGCTGCGCACTTGGGGGGCGGGAGCATGAGTGCGTGTGCTGCCGTTTAACGCTCCCACCGCCAAAGCTTCCCCTGCTTCTGAGTTAAGGCCGCTAACGGGACTTCCCTCTCCGCTTCGCTCTCCTATTGGCCCCAAACACGAGCCCTGGCGTGGCATGACTGTACCCCTCCAGCCCCGGGCACTGCCTCTCCTCCCTAGCCCCGCTGACACACGCCTCAAACGTCCTCCTGCCCAGCACCCCCCGGTGCGGATCCTGTGCCCAAAGAGCACCCCCTGCCCTGTCAGAATCGCCTCAGGGAGGCAGTTCCTCCCCTAATGCGCCGCAGGGCGAGAGCTCGCCTCCACCCTTCAGTGGGGTACTTTGTGCCTCAAATACCCCCTCACCCACTTGCAATGCCCCATCACTGTCCCCCTGCACCGTGGAGGGCAGGCAACGTATTTACCAACATCGCTCATGGTTTCTCTCTGGGGCAGAGCAGCGTTAGTTCCAGTTTCAGGGAAGTGGGAAGCCACCCCGATGTCTGGAAGCTGAAGGTAGAGGTAAATAGTACGTCATAACCAGTCCAGTAATTAATAATGCAAAGCACATGACATATATATTAAAGAGAAGAAGAATACATTCCTGACTAGGAAATAACTGACTGTTTAGTCAGGGAACTGGCAGTTTAAAGGGAATTGATTCATAGGGCTTATGAAAAGGTATCTAGGCTTGAAAGAATACAAACTAAAAGCATGCTCCTGCAAACTTCAGTCTGTCAGTAGCTCCATAATGTTCAATAAGGCTACTCTTGTGAGTAAAGATATACTTTAGCAGGAATGGGGCATAAAATATAAAACTATTTAAAGAATCACCTCGCCCAAATGCATGACCAGATAGAACCCAGGAAAGTGGGATTTGCAGCATACCCTAAAGGCAATCAGCACTAGAATTCTGCAGACCTCCTCTGTTACATGGGAATTCTTGATGGAGAAAGTCTTGTACTGGCCCAGTCCTTACTGAACCAAGTGACTAAATCCAAAGTAGCTTCAGTGGTTTTGGATCAGGCCCTCTGAATAGACCTGCCTCAGCTGACTGTAAATGTTAGGCAGGAACATAGTATGAAAGGTGATGGCCAAGGCAGGAGAGGTACAGCATCTTCTCACAGTTATTTCCCCTTCCAATTAAGTCTTACTTGAGTAGTCCCACCTACTCGCTCTTGCACATTTTTCTTTTTCAGTTCCTGATCAAATCCTCTCATTTGTCTTTATCCTATTTTCTGCCCCCCTTCTGTCTTTTTGTATCAATTTGAGCATTTTTTCATAGCAAAATTTTCAATGCAAGTATGTACAAATATTTTTTATGTTGTGCAGACCTACTACTTTAAAAATGAGCCATTTGCTGTGAGTCCGATTGCCAGGTTGGCAGGCCAGGCACGGTCTGAAGCTTGCATTCAAAGAGGTAATATTTTTAAGCCCAGCCTTTTTAAAAACATCCTTTTTGGGGTTTTTTCTGAAGGAGCATCATATTTGAACATGAACTTCTTTGAGTCCATATTCAATTAAGAAAAACAAACAAAATACTCAATTTAAAAGGGCAACAGACCTAGCTCTGAGATGGAGAGATTTCCAAATTGGCAGTGGCAGATCCTCTGCTTGGTGTTAAAAGGTTGTGTTTAGGAAAAAAGAGCATATTTGAAACCAGGCACTATGGCCTATGTTCAAATATAGTTGCTCTTTAGAACAGACTTCTTGTAACATCTGGAAACTCTGATTTCTGATGACAAAGAAAAACATCTGCAAACCCTAATCTCTAGTGGCAAAGAGTTCCAAATAACAATTGTTAAAGTTGTTGACTTTGGCTGCTATTGACTTTAGTGGGAGCAAGGTCAGTCCCTTTCTTGGTGATTTTTGAATGATGTGTGCATGGATGGGACGCTTTATTTGTTTCCATTAAAATTTTATTTTAACACCGAAAATGCATGCATAGCTATACTATGTGGAAAACTGGGTAATGGGAATTACATTCAGTAAGTAAAACAATAGCATAATAATGTTTTATTTATATTAAAGAGTCTAGAAAAGGAGAAGGAGAAAATAGAGACGGAGAGAAAAGATGGGAGAAAATCCTCAACTAGCCAACCAACCAAAAACAAAATAAACAAAAATCCCCTCATTTGTTGCTGTTCCCATATGGTAAGTCCTGATAGTTTGGGGTTTTATTAAAATATCTATATGCATATATCGACAGATAATCAAGGTCTGTCACTACCATCCGCTACAGTTGTATCTCATCTAGGGTCCTTAACCAAGATCAATATCAGTGTGACTGCAGCTCTATACATGACACACCTTATGAAAAGAGGAACCCTTGGTCTGTGTCCTTTTGAGCAAGACTTCCAAATGAGAGTTGTTTCCTTATTTTGGGATGGCCTATGAAAAATCTCCCAAGCAATGCTCTAAGACTTATGTAGCCTTATTAAAACAAACTTTATTAAAGCCAGAGAGAGAATAGCATATTAAAACAAATGAAACAGTTTGCAAAACATACCACACTCTACAACATTCAGGAAGAGAAGAGCACTTTTGTTTTAGTTCAGTGAATAAAACAGATCTTACATTTTCTCAGAGACTTTCTTCTTCCTGTCTGTTTCTCAGCCTGCTACTTATTCAGATAGCATTCCATAGACATCCAGTGGGCTCTATGTTCCAGTAATCTTGTTCCTCTTGTTCTCCTTCCTCCTGATTAAATCTTCATAGAATCATAGAACTAGAAGGGACCTCGAAAGGTCATCTAGTCCAGGCCCCTGCACTCGTGGCAGGACTGAGTATTATCTAGACCATTTCTGACAGGTGTTTATCTAACCTGCTCTTAAAAATCTCCAATGATGGAGACTCCACAACCTCCCTAGGCAATTTATTCCCATGCTTAATCACCCTGACAGGAAGTTGTTCCTAATGTCGAGCCTAAACCTCCCTTGTTAATCCTTTTGCTACTCAAGGTGTTTACAAAGTTCATTTTTGTGTCTAACAAATAAACCAGATTTTAAAATCTTTAAATAGCACAGTTTTGATGTAATGTGCTAATTTGTCACCTTTGTCTTTCCATCCACTCTGTCCTACACTTTGCTGTTGCATCCTGTTCTTATTTAGGCTGTTGATTTTGCAATTGGAGCTTCATGGGCGGACCACCTTGTTTCTCTGGAGCCCCATTCAAGCCTTAGGCTCCAGTTGTGTAACAGACTCCATGAGGGTGCAGGGGTTATGGCTGAAGATGTGGAGATGTGGCTGGTAAAAAGATTCTAGGTCTCCAAGTGCTTAGGAATATACTATAGAGCACTGGGAATTTGGAGCAAAATAACTAATATTTGTATTCCAGTTCTTTGATTCCAGACATAGGGTGTATACAGTCTGGTAGAAAAAAAGTCAGGCACTAGGGGAAGAGACTAGGGCTTAGTATGGGGATGTTCCTTATTTTGGCAAATGCGGTTAGATCCTCAGAGAAGCTTTTCAGCCATCACTGAGAACCCTGGGTGGGGGAATAGAGGAATTAGAGTCCAGGGTAGGAAAAGCCCCAGCCAGTTGGACAGCAGAAGAGTCTGAGAGAAAGAAAGCCAAGAAGGGAAAGTTGGAACAGAATAGATGGATATTTCTTCTTGATTTTTCTAGGAATCCTGGCTAAGGAAAAACTTAAGCCTTAGATACTGGCTGAGTAAAGTCTCCCTCCCACCCCCACCCCCAAATGATTAATGACATTGAATTACAGTTGAGAAAATCATGCTGGGACTGCTGAGAACTTGCAAACTGATAGTCAGCCCCTGCAGCTGAAGGAATATTTTTCATTTTACTGTAATGGGAATCTGGTATTGCATGATATTCCACAGTTTCCATTATGTTCTTTCATTTTCACATTCAGATAAACTTCTAAAACCTTCATGTTTTAGGGGAATGGATTGAATTTTTTTGTGCTTGGTATTTGCTTAATACTTACTTATTTATTTATTTAGGGTTGGGTAAACATGAGTACAATCTTTTCCAGCAATAATGCTTTCTTCATTGGCAGAGGGAAATCTTTTGAACAGGGTTACCACAGAAGCAGCTGAAGTTTGAAATAAAGCATAAATGTAATCCTCAATGAAGAGTAGTGTCTTTACTTAGTTTAGGGGGGAAATGAAAATTATTAATAATAATAAATTAGTTGAAAAGTCACTTCCAGTCATGCTTTCTGAGAGCCTAATTGAGTGCTGCTCACTTAACCACAAGGAATAATCCTCCCCGTGGGGCCGGAATCAGGGTTTAAGGCTGAAAAGCTACTGTTTAAAAGCAATTATGCCTCATTAAAATACAACAAAATACTACCCTCCAGCATAACATCAGGCACACAAGAAAGTGATGTGATGGGAAGAAGGAGGAATGGATTATGAAGTCTTAGATTTTCTCCACAACTTGGACTGCATTATACAAATTCTAAGCCAGGGGTCGGCAACGTTCGGCACGCGGCTCGCCAGGCTAAGCACCCTGGTGGGCCGGGCCAGTTTTATTTACCTGCTGACGCGGCAGGTTCGGCCGATCGCTGCCCCCACGGGCCGCGGTTCGCCGTTCCGGGCCAATGGGGGCGGCGAGAAGCCGCGGCAAGCACATCGCTCGCCCGCGTCGCTTCTCGCCACCCCCA